CCTCATGTATGGCCTAGGGCTAAACCTGGGCAATTTCTAAAACAGGAACCCACGGCAGTGGGCCTTTGATCTAGGCAATTTCTACATGTATATTTTTGGTGGAGTTTGTTTGCGAACTACTATTTTAACGCTTTTCAAGTTAAAATGATCAGTAGCTTTTGGAATTATGTTTACATAGCTACCTGGAAAACATCAAGAGAAAACCAACACAATTCTTCACATTCCTTTTAACTATGGAGTTTAGAAATTATTTGAAATAAGCAAATTTGAAAACTACATGGCAAATCGTACTAGAAAGGGAATGCATATTTGAGTTTTTGTGGTATTGTTAAGGGAAGAAAAGAGGAATGTTGAATACAGAATTAAAAATATTCAAAATGGAAATGACTTCTCAAAATTTTTTACTGTCAATTAAAACAGACCAATTAGGTGGTAGCTAATAGTTTGAAATATATAATTGTTATACTTTTCTTATTGGCTCAGATTTTAAGATGTTAATTAAAATGAGATTTACCTGTAATAATCTAGTTTAATATGATGATCAGGAATAAAATGCTATTAATAAAAATGTAATTAATTAATTAATTACTTTATTTAGTTTTGGGTACCAGGGATCGAACCCAGGGATACTTAACCACTGGGCCACATCCTCAGTCCTTTTTTTTTTTAAATTTTGAAACTGGGCCTTACCAAGTTTCTTAGGGTCTCGCTGATCTGCTGAGTCTGGCTTTGAACTCACTATCCTCCTGCCTCAGCCTCCCAAACCATTGGGATGACAGGTGTGCACCACCTTGGCCAGAGAAATGCTTTACTTTAATAGAACCCACTTCAGTAGGAACTGAGGAGACGTGGGGAGAAGTGAGAACAACGGGAAGGAGAGGTGCGTTCACACCGGGGACCCCTCACTGCCCACCTATGTTACCACAGTCAGTCCTTGTCCCCAGTGCCAATCCAGTAAGGAGGACACACTTTTAAGAAAAAGGGAAAAAAGCTTAATTGCTTTGCCAGTAAAAGAGAAGCATAGGGAACTCGGGTCCCAGAGGCTGCGATTCTGCCCATGAGCAGGAACAGGGGTTTTTAAAGAAGTGATTCATCCACCCTAAGTACAGGCATGAAGTCACGGATGGTGCGACTCCGTGTTATGAACAACCAGAGACAGGAAAACTGGTCTGTGTGTGTCCTATGAATTGAAACGCATTCTGCTCTCATGTATAACAAGTTAAGTAAATAAATAAATTTTAAGAAAAAGAAGTGATCCAAAGCCTCTTCCAGGTGCTCTCTGTTGGAGCTGTAATTCACTTGGGAATTTGGGAGATGGTCATTTCTGAGATCTTCTGGTGCCATCCCCCAGTCTGAATCACTGAATGTGTACATCACGGAAGTGGCCTGGAGACCTTCTCTAGGAAATGCTCACAATGTCGTAAGTTGATTTCAAATTGAAGCCAGAAATCTGAACTGTTGTGAGTCCTTCAGCTGAGTTCTCTCAGAGTGAGGTTATTCAGAGTAAACCTTGGAGGGTAGGAGTGTGGGGTGACTATGGCAGCCCTCCCACTCTTCCTGCACTGGGCCCCCTCTTCTGGAGCAGAGCCTGCTGGGGGGCTGGGGACATGTGTCTGGGCTGCAAAACCAGAAGCGACTCTCTCCCAGCTTTCCTGTCAGCGAGCAAGCTCCTAAAACCCAGGCCGGTGAATGGAACTGGGAGGCTCAGCCCTGTCCCCAAGTCTTGCCTGACTGTGGCCCTGACACTGGAGGTGCAACAGCCACCTCCAGGTGATGGGGGCAGTCCCCCTGTGCAGGTTTCACCAGAGCACACCTGAAAGACTGCATCAGCCTGGGGACAGAGGAGGGGCTTCTGATGGACTTGATCAAGACCTTTTGGAAAACCTCTCCCTTGAGATGAAAATCCTCATCAAAGCCTCTCACCAGCTTTACCACCTAGGACTTTCTCAGGGGCTAGAAGAACCCTTTGGAATGTGTCCCCTATGCAAATAGGGCCCTGTCCCTCTGTGGGAGCTGCGCTCCTGCAGCCCTGGCGATGGGAGGAAGTGCACTTCTTCTCTGGGAGATGCTGGAGAGCAAACATGGCATCTGGTGGTCCACCCTGCTGGCTGGTGCAGCCTGAGAGGACCAGAGACAATCTGAGGCAAACGCACAACCTTGAGCCCAGAGGAGAACTGTCCCAAGGTCCCTGATGGAAGCCATGGGGAGCCCTGGGTGCAGAAAGAGCCTGCTGCTCACGGCCAGACGGGGCTGCTGGGCTGCAGACGAGCACCCCCAGTATCAGGTCTGCTCCACCCCATCACCTGCCAGGCAGGAGTGTCCCCAGAGACCAGTGCCAAGATCCTGACAATCAAGAGAGGCCCAGGAAATGAGGGTCCTAGGAGACCCTTCACACAGACACCATCCAAACCAAGATGCTTCTTGCCAGGGGCAGGCACGGTCAGAGGGGGTGCTCTAGCCAGGGGCTGCTCCCTTTCAAGATGGAAATTTTTAGATTAATGTTTCTAAAGACTTGTTTTAAAATACAAAATGCTGCCTGAAGGGGCAATGATTTAAGCCCCAAGACATTTACATATCAATGCCATATGGAAGGACTTTAAATTTCTACTTTCAAATTTTTAAAAATATTCCCACTGGTATTCACTCCACCCCTCCCTGCCCCTTGGCCTCAACTTCATGAGGAGGAGACTCCTGATAAGAGTTTTAGGTGCTTTGGAAATAAGGAGGGCCACACCCAGGGCCCATAACACACTAGAAGTGACCACAAGATCCCTTTAAAACAAATTCAACAAGACAGCTGCAGCAGAAGAAAATGAGATTTGATGTCTCCACCAAACTGTAAAAATATGTCAACTAAGTCAAGCAGGCCCCACGCCACAAGGCAGGGCAGCCGCGCTTCCCCGGCAGGGGCCGGGACCTCAGCTTGAGGAGAGTGAACCAGAGCAGCCCTCCATGCTGCTGTCAGTAGGCAGAGCGTGGCGTCTGCAGCTCCTGGAACTCGCCCTGGACTTGCTGGAGTCTTCTCTGTTTGTGTTTTGAGGGTGGCTGAGTCTCACTAGGACAGTGTGTGTGGACTTACACATGGATTTTAGGTGGGCATAGGTAAGTTTGACGGGTGGACAACAAGCCCAGGGCGCAGCCAGGAGAAAGCTGCTGTCACAGCACCTCACCACCTCTTCCTGATCAAGTGCACTTGTGGGGTGTGTGTGTGTGTGTGTGTGTGTGAGAGAGAGAGAGAGAGAGAGAGAGCGCAGTCTGCACATACTTGGAGCACTGTTGGGAAAGATCTGGACAGGCATGCTGTAATGTGGCAGGAGAGGCCACGCCCAGGGCCTCTGAAGGCAAGTGACACATGCAGGCCCAGGCCACCTGCAGCTGGAGCAGGAGCACTCGTCCTTCCCAGAGGAGGAAGAGCAAGATGGTACCCGTGCAGGTGGACCACAGCCACTTTGTGAGGGGAAGTTGCTTTCTCTCTGAGGTTTTCCGTGTGCATATGTGGCTGTGTGCATGTGTGTGCATGCACATGTGCGTTCAAGTATATGCATGTGTACATGTGTGTGTGCATACATGGGCAGGTTTGCATGTGCATGAGTGTGGGTGTGTGCATGGGTGCCATGTATGTGTGTGTGTGTTTGAAATGTGAGTGTGTGAATGTGTGTGCACGTGGGTGTGTGCAAATGCCTTTCAAGTAAGAAGTGATGCATCTGCCCAGGAGGGTGACAAAGCAAGCCAGGAGCAGTGACGACTGACTGGTGCGTGGCCTGTGGGGTCTGCTGAAGCCCGGGAGACCAGCCTATGCCACAGTGTGGGGAGAATTAGGTCTACACTTGAACATGGAACGCAGCCTCCTTCCGTAATCAGTTATTAAAGCTGTTCTGAGGTCGGTGTGTAAAGTCGAGGAAGGCTAAGCCACATGGAAACGGAAGATAGGCTGCGTTTGACATTTCCAGTTTCATTTGATCTAACAACCGCCAAGGAAAGGCCAGATAAATTACTTCACATGAAATGAAAATGCTCAACTTTATTGCGTGTCAAAATGCTTTGATAACATGGGAGATTCCACGTTAGGATGCTGAATGGAGGGCTCTGTTTCCTCTCTCCTGCGTGATCTCAGCCTGACCCGAGCAATGCCTGTGGCCACCTCAGCATCACATGTTGGCATGTGTAGGGGACACTGCCAGCTCCAGTGCCACTGTGGCCTGACCCACGTGCCAGAGGACTCCAGGTCCCACAGGGACACGAGTGGAGAGAGGCTCTGTGGCTGGGAAGGCAGGAGAGGCACCAGGGTG